GGGGGGCGCACTTGAAACCAATGGTGCGTCCGAACCCCTATCCAAGGAGCGCCCAAGCCCCAATTCAAACAAAAAAAAAAAAAAAAAAAAAAAAAACAAAACTTGCTTTCTTCCAGCGGTTGTTCGAGGGGGTCCGGGCAATGCTATTGTTGACCTTCCTCGAACGCCGCGGCTGGGACTGCTGCAGCGTGCTCTAGGAACTCAGCTGCGAGTAGGTTGACATCGCGCTGTACCGCAACCCACCCAGACGCGCGCGCGCAGGTCCGTCTGGGGCCGGGTGATCCCAGATGAGTTTGCGCATCTCGCCTGGTGCAAGCACGTCGCGCGGGGGTTCCCATTCCCATCGACATCGGCGGCCTCCGCCTTGGACAGAGGGGCAACATCCACCGTGGGGCAATGGTGGTGTTCGTGGACCTCCGTGGACATGGCTCGTCGCAGTGCATGAAGGAACCCGCTGGGGCTCGGTCTTCGATAGTTCCCGAACGCAACCGAACGTGCCGACAACGCACCCTGCATGACCGTCTGATGATCGTGCGTTACGGGGGCCCACCACGCGGCGTCGATCAAGCGTCGGTCGCTCAGAGAATCCTCGCGGGACCCCATCGTCGATGGCCAGCAACGCCCCGTCGACGCGACGTGAATTGTCCGGGCGCGTTCCGGCCTGCGCGGGTTCGGCGCTGCCCCCCCTCGCGCCTGCCGCGTGGAGCTCATCCCCCACTCGATCGCCGAGGTCCGAAGCAGAGCCCAGCTACCTGACTGCGCATGAACAGGAGATAGCCCATTTTGCCGCGGTCGGGGCCGAGGGGCTCGACGAGGCTCCATCCTCCAGCCCCGAAGCTCCACAAGGCCTCTCCTTCGCGGTGGCCCGGCCCCCACTATTCCAGGAATCTTCCACGAAGGCTTTCTTCGGTCGCGACGCGGCCCAGGCTGCGGCCCAATGGGTCGGCCACAACACTGCTGAAGCTGAAGACGTACCTGGCGAGGCACTCAAAGCCGAGCGCCACATGGCGCCGGGTCGCGGCGACGGCAAGGACCGCGCCAGCGTCGGCCAGGCCAAAGCTTTGAGTCTTCGCTGATAGGCTCACGACATACTGGCCCACCACCATCCGCGCCAGACCGCGGCGCGTCGCAAGCTGACTTGTCGCGCCGTTTGTAAACGTATTACCCAACCAGAAAAACATAACCGTCGTGCTTCTACAAGGCGGCACAATCGTCCAGCGCCTCGGTAGCCGACGGCCACGGCGCCGCGTCGGGCGCTCATCTCGTCGAGCGCGGCCAGGCCGTTCCGCCGACTCACATCCATAGTGAACGGAGCTCGGTAGAAGTCAACCTGCTCGCCTGGCTTGTGGTCCAGAGACTGTGGCATTTTTCTGCGAGGAACTGTTGATTGGCGAGATGGCCGAAGCCTCCGCGATCCGCTGCGGAGAGATCTCTCATGGCCAACGCGAGTTGCGCGCAACTCTGGCTTCGCGTGGTCGCGCCAACACGTGTTTCGGGGAAATGGTCGGGCATGCTGACTCGAGATCATTCATGTCGCAATAGTTTGCCAAGACAACGCATGGCGCGCGGAAGGATGGCACCGCGACGCTCGATAATCCAAGCGCGCTGATGCGGGACCACAATGCCGCGTCGGTCCACGACTGGCGTAGCACGGGCCCCAAGTCTGCCGCGCCCACCGTTGACAATCGGGATTTTGAGCGGTCCGAATATCGGGGCCAAGCAAGACATGTTGCCATTGCGAAGGCGCCCAGAGGATCGACGCCCAGCGTCGCCGGCATCCCCCTGGAGCAACCGCGCTGCGCGCCACCGGCCAGCTCTATCGATCACATGCCAAATTGGGCACTGGCGGTAGAAGGACGCCCCCTTCCACTTCCCGATCGGGAGCCGTGGCCAGCTCGACCGAGGCGCGAACTGCGACGCGCCGCTTGCCGAGGCTCGGCACTCGCAGCAGGCGTCTATAACGCCGACGATCACCTGGGCGGCGCTGCTCAGGCCCCAGGCTGCGATGAATATCTTTTCCATCTTGAAAGTGCATAGCGCGCCACCAGCGTATATGTTGTTCGCGGATCTCACGTCGCATCTGCGATGCATCGCCCGTGCGCAGCACGCGCAGACGCTGCGCGGCGTCGAAAATCGCCCAACCCTCTGGCGCGTGACCTGCTGTAGCGCACACGACTCGGAGTCGGCCGGCGGCGGGCCCCAATCTGCCGCGCCCACCATCGACAATCAAGGTTTTGAGCGGTCCGAAAATCGAGACCAAGCAAGACACGTTGGCATAGCGAAGGCGCCCAGAGGATCGACGCCCAGCGTCGCTGGCACCCCCCTCGAGCAACCGCGCTGCATGCCGCTGGCCGGCTCTATCGATCACATGCCAAATTGGCCGCCGGCGGTAGAAGGACGCCCCCTTCCACATCCCGATCGGGAGCCGTGACCAGCTCGACCGAGGCGCGAACTGCGACGCGCCGCTTGCCGAGGCTCGGCACTCGCAGCAGGCGTCTATAACGCCGACGATCACCTGGGCGGCGCTGCTCAGGCCCCAGGCTGCGACGAATATCTGTTCCATCTTGAACGTGCATAGCGCGCCACCAGCGTATATTTTGTTCGCGGATCTCACGTCGCATCTGCGATGCATCGAGCGCGCGCAGCACGCGCAGACGCTGCGCGGCGTCGAAAATCGCCCAACCCTCTGGCGCGTGACCCGCTGTACCGCACGCGACTCGGGATTGGCCGGCGGCGGTGGCTCACCGTCGTCGAGGTCGCCGCGCATAGACGCCGGCTGCACAGGGTCGCCGATGGGGCCACGGTCAAGGGGGGGCCATTAGACGTTTTGGTGCTATTCAAGGTTGGGGACGTCTTCTTTCCGTTTTCAAGATCGACGTTTGTTTTGCTGTTTTGGGATTGTCGCCCGGTCGCTTCTGGTTCGTTATTGGATCCTGTTTCATATTGTGTTGACTGCCATTTCTTTCCTGTGTCGCGTTTATGACAAGCGCTATAGATGTTGCGGGTTGTAGTTGTCTGTTTTGGGTTGCCATGTGTCGCTCGTTTTGGGCCTGGCTGGCGTCGATTCTGCACTGCGCTGGGTTGGCGCGCTTTCCTCTCCGGCAAACTGCGGCGAGAAAAATTGCCAGCGACAAAAAACGGAGAGCGGCCCATCGGCGTCGATACTCCCCTGCAACAGAAGAATTCCTGCCGCGGGATTTTGGCGCCGACGAACCCGTGCCTCGCGGGGAAAATATCCGCGTTGGCCAATGCGTCGCTCTTGGGCATCCCCGCGCGCCCCGTCGGGTCAGCGGCGCTCTCCGGGCCGCCCGGCGAGGACTGGGCGCGATCTGTCGCGCGGCGGATCGCACGCGCATCTCGAGCATGAGCACGGCGACTCAACGCCGGGTGGGATTGCAGGAATTTTCTGGGGCCCCAATGCGACGCGAGCCCAGGCTGCCGCGATTCCCGCTGCAGCCCCGACATGCCGGGCATCGTTCTGCGCGCGGCGCGTTGGCCCCCTGCTCGGCAGCTGGCGCGACGGCGGACGCCCGCGCGCCCGAGGCTCGCGCCGGGGCCCCAGCCACTTTCAGTCGGGCTCGCGACTTTCCTGCCAGCGTTGGTGCCGGCGGCGCTCCGGCTCCTTCCAGGCGTTCGAATTATCGCGGAGACTCTGGGCTGATGCTGACTGGCCCCCGTGACCGGATAGCTCGACCCTAATTGCGCGCGCGCCACCCTTGGTGACGCGCCCCCCGTCGACCTCCGTAAAGCTCCGCGGAATTTCAAATGAGTTTCTGGGAATTACAAGGCGATCTTCTTACTGTGGACAATGAAGAACTCACTGCGCGCGCGCCCCCCATGGGTGACGCGCCCCCCGTCGGCCCCCACTCATTGGGAATTGCAAGGCGATCTTCTCATTGTGGACAATGCAGCACTCCCTACGCGCGCGGGCACCCCACCTAGGCGACGCGCCCCCCGTCGGCCCCCTCAAAGCCCCACCGGGAAGTTCAATTCAGCTTTCGGGAATTACCAGGCGATCTTCTTATTGTAGACAATGCTGAACTTCCGCGCGCGTAATTAGGGAGTTCTGTTTTGTCCACAAGAAGATGCTCGCATCCCCCTCATCCTCCTCCTCGTCTTCCTCCTCGTTAAATGGTGGCGGTGATAATGGTGGTGGCGGTTGTGGCTGCGACGGCGGCGGCGACCATGATGATGGTGGTGGCGGCGATGATGGCATTGACGGTGGTGGTGGCGGTGATGGCGATGGTGGTGGCGGTGATGATGGTGTGATGGCGGCGATGATGGTGGTCGTGACGGTGGTCACCGCTCCATATTCAACTGCGGCGCACCTGCTGCAACAACTCAACGAGCGCCACTGCGGTTGAGGCCCCTGCCACTGCGGTGGATATTTCTGCGCCACTGCGTTTGAAATGCCAACCGAGACTGCGACAAACACCTACGCGCAAAGGCTCAAAAACCTAGGCGTCACGGCTCACTCCACCTCGTCGTAAAAAACCGCTGTGCGTTCAGAAGGGTTTGTTATCCCTTTAAACCCTAAATTCTTAAGATCCTGTATTCGGGCTTCAGGAGAACCAATTGGAAAATCCAATTTTGCCGAATCGAATACGGACTCCAATGCTTGCCTTCAGGGAAGATTGAGAGAATAAGGTCGCCTCGCGCGGGCGCCTACTTTATCGATGCGCTTGGAACGGCGTCGCTCTACTCCTCTGAGCGCCCCTTCCTGCGATCCGATGCTCAGCGAAGCCAACGGCTGAGCCGTCGCTTCGGCTGATAACCAGCTTTTTGCCTGGATAATCATAATCCCTGCAATGTGTTCCAATGATGTCTGATGTTCAAGGGGCCCCCGCTGAAACCATGGCAAGGAAAGAGTTTACCGCTAAGCTAGCAACAGGGTAACCCTGAAGGAAGGGAGCCGGCCCGCAGGCCGACGCGCGCGCGCGGCCGAAGGCTCGCTCTTTTTCTGTTTCCCTAGAGCCAAATAGCTGTAACAGTAACAGAACAGTCGCACAGTGCAAACGAAGAGAGCAACGGGCAGCGGGATGGTGCTGCGGAAAGGAGCGCGTTGACTGATATGGCCTGCGGCCAACTCCACCACGGGGTTGACATTGGGACCTGCGCCGCAGCAAGCCACCCTAGGGGTGACAGGAAAAAGTGGACCTCCCCGGAGCCCGACAGGGGGCGAAGGAGGGAGGAGAAGCAGGGGGGGAACGGGAGTGCACGGGCTGGCAGCTTCGAGGGAAAAGGAGGAAGCGAGGAGAAGAGGGGAGACGGCAACGACGACGACGACGACGACCGCCAACACGTCGACGACCAACGCCACCACGATACGCTTTCTACCCAAGGCGCTGCGCGCACTAAGCAGCGACACTGCGGGTTCCAGTACACGCCCAGCTCACGAGGCGGGACCGCATGGCCGGGCCTGGGGCACAGGGCCTCAGCTCGCCTCCGCCGCCGAGCGGCCCTCCTCCACGGCGCCCTGGAGGAGGACCAGCACCTTCGAAAAACAGGGGGAGGAGGAGCAGCAGGGAGGAGGAGGAGCAGCAGGAAGGAGGAGGAGGAGGAGGAGGAGGAGGAGGAGGAGGAGGAGGGAGGGGGAGGGGGAGGAACAGGAGGGAGGAGGGGGAGGAGGAGGAGGAGGAGGAGGAGGAGGAGGAGGAGGAGGAAGGGGAGGACGAGGAGGAGGAGGAGGACAAGGATAATGACGAAGAAGAGGAGGACGAGGAGGAGGAGAGGGAGAAGGGACCAATGCAAACCCAAGACGTATCGACGATGTTGCAACAAACATTCCTTCCTAATGCCCTCTTCACTCGCACATGCACAGAACATGTGTTCACCGAGTAAAGTGAAGGCCAGACCGTTAGAGACTCCTCGATCGCGCCAGAACACCATGTCTTCACACGTCACCACCGCGAACCGACGTGACTGTTGAATCCTGACAACCCTGAGTCGTGCCACAGCACCGTTCGTGGAGAATCGGCACCGCAAATCAACGTGACGGCTGCGCCCTGACAATGTAAATTCGCACCCACGACTGCGACTTCAACCCACGAATCCAAGAAACTGTTGCGAACGTTTGAGAACAATGTGACTGGCGACGGGGCGGGAGCTATAGTTTGAAAACGAGCAACCCTCCATCCTGAAAATTGCTGCGGGCTTTTTGTTTAACAAATGCGCGCGGCGCTGCAACGAGAGCCACAGCTTGAAAACCAACCGCCCTCTATCCTTGCAGCTGCTGCGGGCATTTCAAAAAATGCGCGCAGCGCTGAAACGAAAACCACAATTTGAACAAATACCCGCCATCCGTCCTTGAAACCGCTGCGCGCGTTCAAGGTGACGGTGCACGGCGCGAGGGCGAGAGCCAGTTTGAAAAATCACCCGGCCTGCATCATTCAAACTGTTGCAAACGTTTAAGACGAATGCGCGCAGTGCTCAAGAGAGAACCGCACGTTGAAAACCTCCCGCCTTCGATTCTAACATACGTTGCAGATTGCCGGCTTCATGATGAAAACTCAAAAAAGAGAACTCAAGCGAAACGCCTGGCCCGCCCCACCAACGCGTCTGGAGGTGCGACAGGAAGGAGCTCGTTTACCTCCTCCTCCTCCTCCTCCTCAGGGAGAAGAGGGGGGATGGAGAGGAGGAGAAAGTTGAGAAAGAGGAGGCGAAGGGGGGGGGGCGAGGAAGAGGAAAAGAGGGTAAATAGAGGAGATGTCGGGATGCTCGTAAAGTAATCACCGCCAGCTCGACCCCTTCTAAAGGGGACGTGTCTCCCACTATCCCCCTAAGAAGTTTAAGGCTGTGCCAGGAAACATATGTGTTGCAGTATTAATGTTGCGTTTGATGCTGTGGATGGCAGCCTTTGGGGAAATGTGCCCAGGCCGCTCGCCCCGCACCTGTCGCGGCGGGATCGCGAGACCATCCCGGATTCGCCAGGCGGCCTCTCGAGCTGTGAAAACCACAGCGGCGGCAGGCACACCACAAGAAACCATCAAGGTAGTCGAACAACGCGCACGCGTCGCCATTTCGCCCCACCTGACTGAGGTTGAGTCGGGGCAGGGGCCGCGCAGCGGCAAGAAGCGGGGCGCCGTTCCCCCCTGCTCCCCCGCAGGCAAGCCCCACGCTGCCAAGACTCCCCGGCCAGAGCCCAGTCGCGGACCCCACAAGTAGAAAAAACATCCTGCTTGGACGGCCTGGTAGATTCGATGTCCGAAAAAAATTACCGCGGCCCACGGGGGGGAACTCTCGTGGCCAGCGCGGCAAATGGCATGGCAATGCGTATCGCACGATCAATAGCTCGCAGCTTCTCTGGCTCAGCCTGCGGGTGCAGCCCGCGCATGCCTTCACAGCGCGGAAGGCACAAATCGTTACCAACACAGAGCCAACACTTGTTCTGCAAGACCCGCCTCACGCAGGTCTTTGTGCGCAACAACTTTTAAAAGACCATGAAGTGCTGGCACAACACCCTAAGTCGTTTCTAGCACAGACCCGGCTTGGGCCCTGTGGCCCCCAAGGTGGCCCCGAGGGCCCCTTGAGCCCGGGGAAACAACCGAGGCATATTCGGAACACAACGTTGCCAACCCGTCGAAGTTCACCACCGCGGCCGCAACTCGAGAATCCGCCCGATCGCAGGGGCGTGGGCATGGGAGCCCACGCGAGCCCGAATACTCTGTCCAACATGTGGCCCTGCTCCGAAAGAGGGACGAAGGCCCAACCTGGCCGCGAGAGTTCCCAAATCATGGGGCAGAGCAGCTGCATTCGAGGAACAAATACTTTCGAGTTTGACACTGCCGGGCCCAAAGAAGCCGAACCAGAGGCGTCAAACCCTTCCTGGAGCATCTCCACTTTGACTCATTCCACGCCGCGCTGGGCCAAAGACGTGGGCACGAGGCCGTCGAGGTAATCCAAACCGCCAATCAGGAAGCTGACCAGCTCGGAGAACCTTCAGCCAGGACCTACCTGCTTGACCCGTTCGATGACGTTAGCATATGCCAGCTTTAATATGTCGTGCTGACAGGCCTCGCACTCTCACGGCCTGTGACAAATTTGTCACATCAGTCTTGCAAGCCAGGGAATGGGAACTCAGCTGGTAGCCGTACCTGCGCGCATGGGAATTGGCTCGCATTGCAAACGACAGCGCGTGAACATGCTCTGTCATGCCGAAAACGCCTTTCCAACGGAATCCAGCCATGATGACGTCAAAACACAAGCGACCCGATCTGGGCAAAGCGGGCGGACTCTGATCGCAGGCCGACTTCGCGGAAGGGTCAGGGGCAGCTGAGCTAGCGGGAGCGGTCTAGGGCTCCGACTCCACAGCCAGCATGCCACATAACAACTCCCCATCAGCCAGCTTGGAGCACGATGCACGCTCTAGCTGCCGCACAGGAGGTGTCGCGGCCGAGGTAATCCCATCAGCCCTTTCGGGCGTAGGTGGTCTAGGGGGGTTCCTGCTCCAACCCCTTCTTCCTCTTCGGGGAGGGGTCTATCGGTGTTATATTCACACATATATGTATATATATACATATCTCTATTTACCTCGCGGCTAAATCTGGATCATGCGCGGCCATCCCGCGATCATTGTCAAATGGTTGTTGACAGGAACGGCGGGGGCGGTGGCGCGCGGCCTGCTGCGCGCAGGCCCACCAGACACAATGATGGGCATCGGTTTTCGACAAGGATAGCGGGGGCCGACATGTTTCCCGATGGGTGTTGTCACGTGCGCAGGCGCACCTGACGCACTCTGCTCGTGCCCCGAACATGGCGCACCTGGCGCGGCTGGAGTGCGCGGCACACCTGGCGCACTCGGAGCACATGGCGCATCTGGCGCACCAGGCGTGCCCGGCACGCTCGTGCCCCAGGGTTGCCTGGCGCGCATGGCGCCCCTGGCACGCGTGGCGCACCTCGCCCAAGCGTCCCGCACCTGGGGTCGGCTTTGGTTCCCAGTAGCTGTCCTTCCAAAGACGACCGCTGAAAATGCTCAGGCTCGGGTGTTGGGAGAGCGGATGGGAGGGCATGACGGATTGCGGGCGGGCGGGTAGCTTGACCCCTCCCCCTGCCCCTCCCCCTGAACCTGGACGGGGGGGGGGGCGGCGAGGGTTTGGAGCGTCCAAGATGGCTCAAGATAGCCCCAGATGACTCAAGATGGCTTCCAAGGTGCTCCAAGAGGCCCCAAGACCGCTCCAAGACGGTACCAAGTGGCGACAGGGCCTTCCAGAGGCGGCCACCGAGATGTCAAAAACCTTTGAACAACAAACTAAGGAACATCAGTGGTGGTGGCCTTATCGCCCTTTCGCTTCCCATGGCCTTCCAAGGCCTCAAGACGGCGTGGACACGGCCCAAAAGAGCCCCAAGAGAGGCTCAAGAGGGCCCCAAGACGGCCCCCAAAGCGCTCCAAGAGCGCCTCAAGAGGGGCCCAAGAGGCGATTCTTGGGGCGATTGATAGCCTCCAAGATGGCCCCAAGAGAGCCTCGAAAACCCCCAAAAGAGCGCCCCAAGAGGGCCCCGAGAGGCCCCAAGAGGCCCCAAGAGGCGCCCAAGAGGCCTCCAAGAGGCTCCCAAAAGGCGCCCAAGAGGCCCCAAAGGCTCCCCGAGGTACGCAAGAGGGCCTTCGGGACCGCCAGGCGGTCCCCAAGACGGCCGCAAAGGCCCACAAGCTCGCGATTATCCCCCCTCCTCTCCTCCTCCTCCTCCTCCTCCTCCTCCTCCTCCTCCTCCTCCTCCTCCTCCTCCTCCTCCTCCTCCTCTCCTCCCCTCCGCCTCCTCCTCCTCCTCCTCCTCCTCCTCCTCCTCCTCTTCCTCCTCCTCCTCTCTTCCTCCTCCTCCTCATCATCGTCCGCCTAAGTACCCCCCCCCCCCCCCCCCCCTTTACTCCTTCACACCCCCCACATCCTTTTCCTCTTCATCCCTCCCCCCTGCCCCCCCCTCCCCCGCGTCCTCCTCCTCCTCCCTCCCCCCTCCCCCCTCGCCATCCTCCCTCTCCTCCGGCTCCTCCTCCATATCCCCTCCTTCTGGTAGGACGGCATCCCCCGCCCTGTGTTTCTCTACGCGCTTCCACTCCCCCCTCATCAAAGCAACTCCTCTGAGCATCGTTGCTGGGAAGCTAGCTGACAAATCCCGATCGTCGGTACTCTTCGCTAGAATTGTTGTTGAAGGATGGGCTGGTGGGGATTCGCGACGCGTCAGCAGTACACGTGCACATCGGGGTTGATCATGGCCCACCCACTGCGCTTCAAACCTGGAAACAATACAATACTCTTTGGCTCGAAACCATATTCCAAGTGTTCCCTGGAAGATCGAACGGTGGCCCACTCCAGGGTGCCAAGAAACCGTCTGGCGCGGAGGACCCAAACATCCGTGCATGACGGGCGACAGCTCCAGATCACAGAGGATTTGCCGCGAACAAAGAGAGCGCAGTGAACGACCCCCAAGCGGCATCTAGCTTGACCATGCTGCAACAAATCTTCTCAACCCGTGAATTGCACCAGCGGTGCGACCGTACACGTCACGGCCAACAGTGTACCCAGACATCGGACCGGAGGTGAAAATGCGAACTGGTTTCCGCACGAAGTGAGCTACGACGCTTCAGTCCTCGTGATGTTCCTGGCCATGTGCTACTTCATGGCTGCTCGCTTCCCCATCCTCCCACTGTAAATGCGGGGCGCCAAACCTACTGCGCCACCACAACCAGAATTGACAGCCGAGCCGCGAAACCCTGCCCAAGCACCAAGCTCGGCCTCCAACCGCTTACTGAGATCAGGGCAAATTCACACCAGCGCCACCTTCTCAAGGGTCACGACGATACCCCCCTATAATCTGACGAGCAGCAGTGACACATTGAGAGGCCATCGAAATGTTCGCTTCATAAACATAATATCGAGACCCGATGACCGACAGCCAGTGTTATAGACAATTCCTGCGCCTCTCGATCGATGGAATGCAAACTGGCAGAACAAGGGAACGAGTCGAAAGCGCCCATGGCGCAAACGCGAATCCATGAGGTGGCCGCGCTGCACCCAGCCACGATCCCCGAGGTGGCGTAAACGGCGCCCACAGAGAGACAAGTGCGCCGTGGAGAGGGGGGGGGAGGAAGGAGGGGACAAGGACAAGGACATGCGCTCCGAAGAACCTCAACACATCGGCTGAAGTACCTCGATCTACTCTACGCTCGGAGGAAAATCCCGATGAGGACGGAAAGCGGGGCGAGGTGAACCTCCGGAGCATCGCCGAAAGCTAGCGCCCCGCCCCGAGGACCGCCAAAGGCACGCGTTACCCAAGACGGGGCCCAGCGAAAAGTAGGGAGGGCGACGCGACAACAAAACGGAACGAGTCACGGCCCCAGGACCTCGGGAGGACCAGGGCGACGGGGGAGGGGGTCTACTCTTCGCTCGGATTCCCCCCTCGCGAATCTAAATATATGCGCGCTATTGAACAACTTCTCAAAACTGGGACTTCCTGGAAATATGTCGTTGGTTTTATATAAAAAACCACATATTCTCTAGCGCAAACTGAATCGGGGACCCCCCATCGGCTGCCCGCCCACTCAGAGGAGGCAGGCGGCCTAGCTCCCGAAGGGCGAGGCGGCCTTGAGGTCGCCGAGGGAGGCGCCGAAACCGCGGGCCTCGAGGCCGCAGGTGCGGAGGGAGGCGCCGAGGCCGCGGGCCTCGAAGAGGGAGGTGTGGGCCCCGAACTCGGAGCTCCCAAGGTCGCAGTTGGTCTCGCAGGTCGCAATGGGCTCGCCCCGGTAACGCCCGTGTCGAGAATCAGAGCCGAGGTCGCGTCAGGCCGCATGAAGTCCGCTTCCATCGTACCAAAGCTCACCGGTAAACATTGCCCCCATCATCCACTGTGCCATTCGCGCCGTCATTCCACGTCTCGTCATCAGCCCCCCCCCCCCCGCCCAAGGTCCAAGTCCCCCCGAAGGGGGCCAGAGATTCAGGCATTGCCCACCGGGGGCGGGGGGCTAAATGGGCGCGTTGCGGCATGAAGTAGTCGACTTACTCTTTCGTGAACGCCCCCGGCCGGTCCTGCAGGTCGCGCTCCACGTGGCTGACGGGGGCCCGACCCTGCTTCCCCCCCACACCCGTCTGGACCATCAAGTTGATGATACATTGGCGGATCTCTGGGTGCAGGTGGAACATGAGCTTGCGCTTGTTGACATCGTAGCACCGATCCATCTTGCAGAATTTGATCATGTCCCCCCGCTTCGTCATGTCCCATGTTTCGATGATCTGCTTCAACTCCATCAGCTTATTGGCGTTGGCGGCTCCGACCGCGCCCTTGCGCTAGCGCAATGCCGCGAGGATGCCGCCGAAGACCCACAAGTGCGGGGGGCCATGATTGTGGCCTGTGCCTGAGGCCGTGACGGCCTCGTCGCAGCGTGCACCTTGGGCGCTCATCTGGGTCGCCTCCTGGCTGGCACCGTCGAGGATCAGACAATCGAACACCACTCCCTCGACGTTGCGCTTGGACTGCCCAAGCTGGAGAAGGAACTTCAACATCGGCATCTGCAACGTCTTCTGGCCGCCCTTGAGTCCGAGGTCTGTCTTGGCCTGTCCGTCGTTCTTGGCCTTCACGCGCCTCGGCTGCTGCTCGGCCACCGCGGCGGCGCCCTCGGCGGGGAACATCTCGCCCCCGCCGCTCTGGAGGTCCCGTCCGAGGGCCGATGGGCCCAACCCCTCGCTCTCGAGGGGAAACTGCAGCAGGTGGAGGACGGGGAAGATGGTGTGACGTCGCATGATCATTATACTGCTCGATCGTGTCGAATGTGATATCGCAATACAGACAGCGATATTCGTTCGGAGGTATGAGTGGCCCTCGGAACGAAGTTCGTCCCATTCTACAGACTGGACTACCCCATGCTGTGCGTACATGTTGACGGGCACTGCCTTTCGTAGAGAATGTTTGTTTACACCATGGACACATGTTGCGATTAACACAAGTGAGCAGCGGGTTACGTCGGCCGTGTTCTCCCCCACGTGAGTGATACATGTCTGGCGTGAGGGCTCCGTGCGAAGAGAATGTTTGTGAGCACCACATTCCGCGCTCGCCCTTCAGCGTGCACACGCGGTGAGACTCTCCTCCGTCGGGGGCTCCATAGCTCGAGCAGGCCCTCGAAGGCGGCGGAAGAAAGCGGCCAAGCGGCCTCCCCCTCCGTGAGGATGGATGCCTTCAAAATCGATGCGTCCACTGCGAGGAGTGCGTCCCTCACTTCGTCGTTGTGAAAAAGAGCGATATATGAATAATCCCACTCCTCCCACCTCTCGTAAAAATCCTCCATCCCACTAGTACCAGCAAAACTCCATAGATCTATCTCTACTTGGTGCGCCAGCGGTGGGGCCTGCCGAGTGAGGTGTCCACGGGAGTCCAGGGCGGGCGGGTCGTGTCCCAGGGCTCCCCAGGGGGCCGCGATGACTTGGGCGTGGGCCTTGGGGTCTCGGACCATCTTCTGCACCCAAGCGAACCGTCGAGAGGCTTGTGCGCACCTAGTAGGGATGACCTTCCACTTTCTTCAGAGAACGGCATGCGGCAAACTCGTGGGATGGGCCCCCGTCCAGTCGGTGGCTTTCCCCCTCTCGAGAGTGCGTAAATACTTGGCAACAACGCTATGCATCTGATCGGTCATCTCTGCCGTGAAACAGTAGGGCTCGTTTGCAGACAGGCCCGCTTCGATAACATGCCCTTGAAATGTTCAAATCTTAAGTTTATTTGAAATCCTGCTACTCCACAGCTTCCCCATGTTTGCCCATCCCGGCTTCATTGCAGAGCATCGATACTGAAGCTCTTCCATAGTAGCGAGATTCCAAGCGTAGCGGCCTCCAAGATAGCGAGCTCTAGCTAGTACCTTCCCCTCCGTGGTCAGTTCTCCGAATCGTTTTGCTTCGTGTCGAGCGTGAAAGCTAGGAACGATATCCCTCTTCCCCTTATTTTGCAGTAGTCCTACTTCTTGGAGGGCGATATCTAATGAGCATCGCTCTGGTTCGTAGGAAGGAGGGGGAGGGGAGGGAGGGAGAGGAGAAGCCAGGACGAGGATAACATCGGGGGATGATAAATCTAGCATTTCCGAGATCCGGCGGTTCTGAGGGATGTCTCGGGCGCAGCGGCCTTCTCAGAGCGTTCCGAAACGCTGGAACGGATTATCTTCGTCCTTGGGGAGACCAACAAGTACCGATACCGCTACTCCCCGGACCTCTCCCAGGGTGCGTTCTGGCCAGAATTTCGAGGCGAATCCAGCGGTGGCGACGAGGGCCTCCTTGGAGGCCCAACAAGGGGAAAACGGGTAAGGGGGAGGAAGCATGGGTACTTTTTCGTTCTCCGAGCCCCAGCCCCGTCCGAAGGGGTGGGCCCAGCCAGGATCGGTGAGCTGGCCAGCCGACGCCGCCCAAGGGAGGGGCTGGCTGGACACAGCTCGGAGGTCCTGGCGGCGCAATCTTTTCGAGCCCGGCGTTGTGTGTGTTGTTGTTCGGGCCCTGAGGCCCTCGCAGATGGATCCGGCTCAAAAAATTGCGCAGAAAGAACGGGTCTAGGGCTCCAGTCGCAGTTTTTCCTGATGTCTCAATTGTTTCGAGACGTCGGATCTCGGGGGGAAGCGGGGGGGGTGGCCAGGGGGGCGGGAGCGAGGGAGCCCTCGAATTTTTGTTGCACACCATGCCCTCCCCACCCCAGTCAGATTTCCACCCCGCGGGGCCACGTTCGGCACGCAAAAACAACGACCCAGGGAGGGAATCCCGCACACAAAACCCACGACCAGGACCATCGCTCATCCCCCAAGGCGTTTGGGCACAGCGTGCAAAATTGCCAGGTGGAGGGGAAGCCTTCGGGGGGGACTGGCGCGGGGAAGCGCCGCTGCATCGCTGCATCGCTGGCGAGGGGACCTGGAAGCGGCGCTGCATCGCCGAGAGACCGGCGACAGGCCCACGACAGCGGAACCGGGCGCTCCTGGGGGGTGTGGTTTCTCCTCCTCCTCCTCCTCCTCCTCCTCCTCCCTCCTCCTCCTCCTCCTCCTCCTCCTCCCTCCTCCCTCCTCCCTCCTCCCTCCTCCCTCCTCCCTCCTCCCTCCTCCCTCCTCCTTCCTCCCTCCTCCCTTCTCCACTTCTCTCCTTCTCCCTCCTCGTTATGGGGCCCCTGTCGGCGATCAGTGGGCGACTGGGGGACGATGCACAGCCAAGAACATCCGATGTCTTGATGTTTCGACGCGCGGTCCCCGAATCCCGACCCTTTCCCCGAGGCGGGTGTTTCAACGTTTTTGGGCGGCGCCGAGGGCCGACCAAGGCCCCTGGATGCCGAGACTGGCGACGAAGAACTCCCGTCGAGAATTTGTCACGGCGCGAAGGGGATTGGGGGGCGATTCCCCCCCCCTTCTCTGAACCCAGCCTGCCCTAACCTTGCCCCAGAGGGGAGCGGGCACGCGGAGGGGCGATGGGGCCTTCCTGCAGTTGCTGCTCGTCGTCGCGGCCTCGGTGTGGTCGTCCTCCCCCAGCAGGCCTCCGACGACGGGAGGGGGGGCGGAGGAGGAGGAGACGGAGAAGGGGACGGAGGAGGAAACGGAGGAGGAGGAGGAGGAGGAGGAGAGGAGGAGGAGGAGGAGGAGAGGAGGAGGAGGAGGAGTTCGAGTTCGACCCCATTCGCGAAGCGAAATCCCGCACTTACGAACCTCTGCGAGCCTTTTCTGCCCTGCTGAGCGCCTTCGGCCATTGGCCATTGGCACTGCGGGACAGGTACTCTGACCGACTGGAGTTCGCGGCCTGTGGCATTCATTCCCAAGACCCTTCAGCATCTGACTGGCGAAGCATCCACATCGACTACAGGAACCAGAGCTTTAAAGTACCGTGCAAACGCATACAGTGCGCATGGTGCACCCACCCACCCACCCGCAATGTGCAGCTCTACTCCAGACGGAGCCTCAAAATAATCACCATAGGCATGAACAGGGAGAAAACATCGGGCGTCCCTCCAGGAAGCCTTCTTCGTATGGGCGGCGGAACTACAGCACCGCGCGCAGCGGCGTCCTGTTTTATCAAGGCAATGGGCGGTGGGAAAAAACTTGGACCACCGAGGGGGCAGGCGGAGGAGGGCAGGACTCACGCTTTCCCCGACCCCTCGACACCAGCTGCTTCTCGGCCTCAAGCGCGCCAATAGTGGCTCGGAGGAGGCGAAGCCTGACCGCGCGGATTGCGTGCTCCCAGACCTCGGCTCGCCCTCTCGCCTCAATGTCGACCTGACATCTAGAAGCCGCGGCACCTGCAAGAGTCCACCGGCGCCGAGGGGGCAGTCCTCGTAGCCAGAAGCACTCGGTGGCCTCCCAGCTGGTGAAAGCCTCGCCCAGTAGCGCATATGAGAAATGGTATGCTGCAGCCCCTGCGTTCTTGCTGCAGCTCCACATCCGATGGAATGGTGTCTCGCCCTCTTTCCCGCAATGGGGGACGTCCCGTCAATCTTCACACTAGCCGGAGCCCGATCTGCCCATCGCGCGCGTGTCCTGTAGGCCCCGGCTGCAATGGTTCCCAGGAGTTCGGCAAGGCGTGCTCCTCGATCGAGGGGCTGCAGCTGGCGATGAAGCCGCCGAAGGGACGCGCAGTCGACGCCGTCCTCCATGCCGCCGCCGCAAAAGTGCGCCGCTGCCTGGGGCCACAGCGACTCGCCAATGGGCTGCTGGACGTCCGGGATGAGCATGCCTGGGTCGTCAACATCTGGCCAGCCCGTCCACGCAGCGTCAGGGAAATGCCTTTTTGTCGATTCACCTCCAGGCGCGACAACTGGCCGCGCCCAGTCCGCGGCGGCTGCAGGGCCCCAACCGTTATTCAACAACAAAGTGGTCACGGCAGAGGCTGGCCCTCTGATGTGCCGCGCGCGTTGCCCTGGGGAGATGGCCCGAAGCTTCTCCGCCGGGAGGCGCCGCGCGCGGCTTGCCCCAGGGCGCACCGATGGCTCCACTTGCCAGACTCGGAACCACTGTCGAAGCATCTCGTCGGGGAGCTTGCGGGCAGGGTCCCGCGGCGCCTTGATGGCCAGCACCGCAGTCAGACACCCGCCCGTGGAAGGCGCCGCAAGGACCGCCCCAAGTCGGCGCCTGCTCTGCTCCAAGTAAATTCCGAAAGTACCAATAATCTGACGCCCGCAAAGCCCCGCGGCCTGAGCTCCCAGGCGTTCCGGCTTCGACGTCGCACCGCAACGGCGCCCCGCTCTGGCGAAACGCCGAGCCCGAGCACGCATCAACCCGTGCTTGTCAGCACGCTTGCGTTTCGCGGCTCTCGCGCGGCGCCGCCCGGCGCTGAGCTCAGCACCCAGGTGCCCAGTGGAATGTCGCGGCCGCACTGCGGACCCATCAAGGCGCAAAGCTCGGCAGACTCGAACAACATCGAGGTGGAGAGAGCAGGCCGCCGCATATTTGGGCGCCCGAAATGGGCACGGAAAAAATGCTACGATGCCCAACATCAAATGTTGACCCAAACCAAAAGCGGCCGCTGTTGGGCAGGCGGCCTTCTGTCTCGAATGGGCACAGGCCGCGGCGGCGTGGACAGCGAATGCTGTTCAAAATGAACAGGAACTGCTGTTGGGCATTGCACCCATTCTTTCCGCGCCCATTTCGGGCGTGCAGAACAGACTTCGAAGCGACCTGCAGCTTCATAGAGCGAAGACCCCGACGCGCATCTCGAAGGCTGGTGACGAGTTGCCGCCGCGCACTAGCCCGAGACCCGATGGCACGTCGGGCGAGATCGCCCACCCATATGCGGCGCCCCATGCGAGGGTGGGCTGCGCAGATCTTATCTAGTACAAAATGCCCCACGACACGCCCGAAGCCGGCACCCGAACGGAGCCCTCGGACGACCGAGCGCGCGGGCGCGAAATGCAAGGCCCACGAACTGCACTGACCAAGGGCCCGCAGAGCCATACATTGCAGCACCTCCAGGCAGCTGGGAAGCCGAGCTGCAAGCCCTTGGGAATGAGGATCCCCCAGAGAACAGTCTCGTAAAAAGCCGTCGCTGCCTAGAAATCCAGGACCTGAGCTGACAGCTGGCGACCGACCTCCTCCTCCGGGGCGCGCGCGGAGGCTTCGCGGAGGGCCGCGTTGACCTTGGCCGCGGAGCCCCAGTGCGGGGCCGAAATATCTGCCCATTGACGCGCGATTGGCTCTCGAGCGAGCGACCAGAGCCGACTGATCGTCGAACGCAGACCGAGACTGCGGTCCCCCTCCGTCTTCTACGGCAAAAGTCGCCCGAGGGTGAGCACGATTTGATCTGGCCAAACCAATCTCGATTCGATGATCATGCACAAGTCGGCCAGCTCCTCCACGGCAGTAGGAGCCGACAGGGGACATGCGATCGCATCCCTGCACAGCGCTCGCCGCCACGCCCCTGGCTGCCCGTCTACTACGGCGGTCGCCTCAGCATCCATGCTCGGAGCCCACTTCGTCCGCCACTTCGCCGCCTTGTGATCGACCAGCCCCAGCGGTTGGAACAGCGTCTCGCGTCTGATCGCCAACCCCAAGTTCTTGCTTCACGAGGGGGTCCTGCCGAATACCCCGACGATGAGGCCCAATGGAGGGTTGCTTCGTCCTTCATTCACTGAATGGGAGCACTGGGACAACCATCGCCCTCTGCTGGGCACGGCCTGCCATGCGTAAAGAAAAATCAGCGATAGCCTGCAGCCGCCGCGCATCCACTGCGGCCGTCGCCTCACGCAACTCAGTGGCCAGGTCGACCCGCTGCTGCCACTGCGGATCGCGATCGCGCAGAACGGCGTGAATGCGCTCAGGGCGCGTGGTCATCTGCAACTCCAACGCCGCCAGAAGCTCGGCCCGTTGGCGACGACCTCTGTCACGACCGATATGGCCACGGAGCCCTGCAAGTAGTGCGTGGAATCGGCTCCACCACTTCGCCAGCTGATCTGAGCTGGCAACGGATATCTGCCTCTTCTGCTGCCGAACTGCGGCCGCGCGAAAAACTGGGTCGTCTGCCGCGAGAAGTCCCAGAAGAAACCCGAATCTCATGATGCCTCTGAATGGCCAGCTCTGCAGTTCACACCCATGGGGGGCACGTGGAAGCAACTGCCTGGGCGGCGTCAGGATGGCATAGCCGAAATGCTGTTGATTGAACGAGGGCCGGGGCAGATAGACACTCAATACTGGTCTGAAGCCCAACTCCGCGCTTGCACGCAAGCCGCGTCGGCTCGGCCACAAAGAAGTCACACTCGTTGACCCGTTGCGAATTGTCGGCAGAGGCCGGCTGCGATACCTCGGAAGACTTGCTCGCGGGCAGCGCGGCATCAACAGGGGGGGGGGGGGGGGCGGGGGCGGGGGAGGAGCGGGGATGGGTCGACCGTCGGATTTCGAACTTCGGCTGCAGCTTTCCTTCGGGGGTCTCTGGCATGAATTCCAGACTGACTTGGAGCAGCAGGTTCAGCTGACACACTCGGGCACGCAAGAGTAGCCGTCGGAACCGCAGGTTTAAACTCGGGCTCCTGGGCCCCGGGGCCATCCCCCTCAGACCAGCGGCCTTCGCCCCCAGGGTCAGAATCTGAATTGTCGAGGTCCTCGAGAAAACGGCCCCCATCGGAACAATCTAAGCTGTTGCAACTATCCATTTCGACTGTGGACTCAGACTCAGCGCCGGCGGCAAACGCATCAGAGAAGAACACGCGGAAATGCCATCCTCTCGCAAGCGCTTGCTCGAGACGCTTCTCGGCCTGAGCTGCCCGAGCCTCGGCTGACTTGGAGCCGGGCGCGGGCGGCCCCCCGGGGCGCACCGCCTGCGGCGGGCGCCTCAGCAGGTCCAAGTGCCTCGCCTGCAGCAGCTTCGCGGATCTCCGAATCCGCACCAGCAGCCCGACACGAGGCCTCCGTGGAACGCTGACCACTGGCTCCAGCGAGGCGACAACGGGGTGCGCCTCTGCAGAGATGAGCACGTAGTCCAGGTGGCTCTGGCCCTTCTGTCCCGCGTTGCAAGTGGCCGCCAGTTCAATCTGCCAGATTGCGGGGTGCCCCTTGAGCCCAAGTGGGAAGGCGGACTTCTGAAGGGTGCTGGGAGGGGCGCCCCAGCCGCCCACGACTAGCCACGGCACAGCCAGCGAGTTCAGGAGGGCGGCGAGCCGCTGGAATCTGCCGAGGCTCGCCCCCGCGATCCCGAGCGAGGGCAAACCATAGAACGGCGCGGCCGCCAGCGTGAATCCGCATAAGTGGAGTAAAACTGCATGAAATCCATCGAGAGGTCGATGGCCCACAGCACGTAACGGCTTCGATCCTGCTTCCGAAAGGAGGGTCATCATCTGTAAATGACCCTTGGCGAGCACCCACTCGCATCCTTCGTTGGCTCGAGCCTGCTGCTGTCGCGAAACCCTCTTGCCGTGCCACCCCCGAGCTCTGTTCCCTAAGAGTCGATGCCCAGACGCTCTGGCTCGCTTATCCCAGGTAGGAAGGTTAGAAAGAGAGACGCGAGCCTCTACGGCAGCTGCAACATCAAAACTGTTATCAGTGAGATACCGAAATGACTTGTCCCCAATACAGGTAAAATTGGCGAAGGATAAAGTGACGAGCGCTGCCTCATCGGACGGCGGCGCCCCCTCGCCCATGGCACTCGAAGCCTCGAGGACTATCGAGTTGGGCGCCGTACTCGAAAGGGAAGATAGTCACGAAGCGGCCGTGCTGACCGCCTCTCCTGCCTGGGCTGCCGGGGTGGTCCCCTTGCCGTTGTCGGTTGGAACGCCCTTGCCTTTGCCCGTGGCCCCCTTGGCGTTGGCCTGCTGCTCCTGGAGCAGCATGTTCTGCGCTGCCAGAAGCGCCTGCGAGAGACGCGCCGCGGCCTGGCGGAGCTCCGCGTCCTCGGCGGGCTCCGCATCCGCGGTCGCTGTCGCGGAGCCGCCGTCCACGGGGCCTTCTCCGGGTCAGATGGCGAGCCGCCCTTGTCCGCGCCTGCGCCTCCCGTAGCCGCCGTCGCGTCTGGCGCCTCAACCTCATCAGTCTTGCGCTTCTTGCTGAACCTATCCTACAGCATGGCGGTGACCTCCGCCTCTTTGCCCTGCATGACCGACTGGAGCTGCTCAAGGTCGCGCTTGATATTACGGAGCTCGGTGCGCTCCTTCTCGGTGCAATCCAGCTCCTCGACGCCGTGAGGAGGAGGAGGAGGAGGAGGAGGAGGAGGAGGTGGAGTGGGAGAGGGAGGAAGACGAGGAGGAGGAGAAGGAGGAGGAGGAGGAGGATGGGGGGAGACTGAGGAGAAGGAGGAGGAGGACGAGGAGGAGGAGGAGGGAAGGAGCAGGGAGCAGGAGGAGAGGAAGGTGGACGGAGGCGGTGAAGTAGGGGAGGAAGTGGAGAAGGAGAAGGAAGGAAAGGGGAAAGAGGAGGGAAGGAAAATGGGCGGAGAAGAAGGAATATATGGAAAGGAAGAGGACAGGAAGAGGTTACGCGGGAGGATGGGACAAGGAGGAGGAGGAGGAGGAGGAGAAGGGGAACCGGAGGGATGGGGAGGAGGAGGAGGAAAACCAGAACAAGAGAGGCGGGGAAGGCGGGGAGGAGAGGGAGGCGGGGAAGAGGAGGAGGACGAGATGGGGAGGAGAAGGGGGAGGAGGAGGAGGAGGAGGAGGAGGAAGAGGGGGAGGAAGATGAGGAGGAGAAGGCGGAGGAGGAGGAGGAGGAAGAGAAAGAGAGAGAGAGAGGGAAGAGGAGGGAGGAAGAGGAGGAGGGGGGGGAGAGGGAGGAGAAGGGGAGGATGAAAGGAAGACGAGAGCAAGAGAGGAGAAGGGAGGCGAAAGAGAGAAGAAGAAAATAATAGGGAGGGAGGGAGGAGGAAAAGGCGGAGGAGAAAACGAGGGAGGGAGGACAAGAACAGAAGGAGGAGGCGGGCGAGGTCCTCCAACAGGATAGCCGGTCGCCTTGAGGTGCCGCACGAGGAAGTTCAGGTAGCTGGTGCCCGTCGACGTGTGGCCGTAGACCACCTTCGAGGGTCAGGGTCGGGGGAGCCTCGGAAGCGACATGGCGACTGGGACCTTGGAGCGGGATGCATCGCGACTCCCGAGACGCTTGCAGTCAACCCGCATGCGAAGGACGCGCGGTAAGGATGCAGGGGCCTTGGGAGGCCATGCCGACACTCTGCGGGCGGGGCGCGGCCAGCGAGAACTGCCAGGGATGGGCCGAAGGGGAAGGATGCAAGGGTGACCTTGGAAAGTGACTCATCCTTCCTATGCGGGAAGACTGTGACTGAATTCGCTGGGCCGCACATCGCGCAACGCGATGCCTGACCCGCGGGTATCTTCGAGCCCTCGCGCCCTCTCGTCGCCCTTCGCTGGAGGAGGACAGCCCTGAGTCCTCTCAGATCTTGCGCACGCGCCAGCATGGATTGCAGTCGAAGTACAACCAGAAGGAACGCTAAAAAGGTAACGAAGCCCCTTCTGGGCCCCAGAAGCGCCTCGGTGCACGAAGAGTGAGAAAAGCACAACCGCGGAAGGACCACAGGAATAGCGAGCCCCTTTTCGAACCCAGAGCGGTGCTTATTTCAGCGTCTTGGCTGCGGGGATCTGCGGATATGGCGCGTGGGCGACAAATGCGCGGATCGGGAAACGTGCCCCCAAAAAACGCGGCGGCGCCAGAGCCGCCTCAGTTGGCGACGCAGCGCGCCGAGTACGCACGGAGGCGGGACGAGTCGCAGATCCACGCGCCTGAGATCCACACGTCCTTGACCATCTGAAGAAGATTGGCGGCGAACCTGGGGGGGAAGTGAGCAGGGGCGGGCCTTCCCAGGAGGCTCGGAAGGTCTCTGGCCCTCCGAAGTGTTCTGAGCCCCCCCCCCCCCGACGACGCAACACAAACGTACCAGGAGGCGCGAGGGCTTCCGAGAAGCCCCGATGCCTTCCGAGAAGGCACTCCCCCCCAGCCTCGCCACCGAGGAGAGGGAGGTCATCAAACCTCGCACCGCGCGCCGCGCGGAGCGCAAACACGATAGTTTTCGAGCCACTGCGCGCCCCTGGCCCTCCCCAGCGCGGGCTGCGGAGAACGCAGCGCAGTCCAGCCTGTGCGGGCGACCCTGGGGACGGAGGCCACTCGCGCTGTCGTTCCTCCTCCTCCTCCTTCCTTCCTCCATCTCTCCCTCCCTCCCTCACTCCCTCCATCCCTCACTCTCTCCCTCCCTCCCTCCCTCCCCTCCTCCTCCCCCTCCCCCTCCTCCTCCTCCTCCTCCTCCTCCTCCCCATCCCTCCTCCTCCCTCCTCCTCCCGACACACACTGCCGCGGCCCTGGTGTCTGCGGTTTCCGGGAATATCCGAAGCAGGTGTCAGACACTCCCCCGAGAGGTTCGAGCACAACGCCCTACAACTCGTCGTGCACTCCAGAAGGGCTGCCCGCAGCATGAAGCCTATACCGATGGATCCCGATGTAAGAAAGAGCGTGTTCTACCGCTGCTGGCGGAAAACCGGGGGGGGGGGGGGGGGCACTTTGGGTCCCCAACACGCCCCCCCCCTCGAAAACTGGGGGGGGGTCACTACCGCCCCGAACCCCCTCTCCCCCACCCCCCAGTCCATCATGAAAAGGGGGGGCGGGTCACTACCGGTTCGAACCCCCCCCTTCGCCGCTGGCAAACGATTCCCGCTCTTCGGACCAGTTGGACAGTGGTGAAGACACTGGGACAGTAGTGGGGACGGTAGTGGTGGGGACAGTGGTGTGGGGACAGTGGTGTGGGGACAGTGGTGTGGGGGCAGTGGCGTGGGGACAGTGGGACAGTGGTGCAGACAGTGAGACAGAAGTGGGGACGGTGGCGGCGGGGGCAGTGGTAGGGGGCAGCGGGACAGTGGTGGGGTCAGTGGGGACAGTGGGACAGTGATGGGGACGGTAGTGATGGGGACAGCGGTGAAGGCGGTGGTGAGGACGGCGGTGGGACAGTAGTGCAGTGCGGAGAAGTGGTGGGGACAGTGGGGACAGTGGCGACAGTGAGACAGCGGTGGGGAAAGTGGGGACAGTGGGACAGCTCAGTGGGACAGCGGCGGGGACAGTGGGGACAGTGGGACAGTGGTGGGAACAGTGGGACAGTGATGGGGACAGTGGGGACAATGGGGAGAGTGGGACCGTGGTGGGACAATGGTGGGGACAATGGGGACAGCGGGACATTGGCGGGGGCACTGGTGGGGACGGCGGTGACAATGGTGGGAACAGTGGGGTCAGTGGGACAGTGGTGGGGACTGTGGGACAGTGATGGGGGCGGCGGTGGTGGGGACAGTGGTGTGGGGACAGTGGGACATCGGTGGGGACAGTGGGGACAGTGGTGGGGACAGTGGTGATGGGAACAGTGGTGAGGGCGGTGGCGAGGACGGTGGTGGGACAATGGGATGGAGGTACAGTGGGGACAGTGGGGACAGTGGTGGGAACAGTGGGACAGCTCAGTGGGACAGCGGCGGGGACAGTGAGACAGTGCGACACTGGGGACATTGGGGACAGTGGGACAGTGGTGGGGACCGTGGGGAAAGTGGGGAGAGTGGGACCGTGGTGGGAACAGTGGTGGGGACAATGGGGACAGTGCGACAGCGGTGGGGGCACTGGTGGGAACAGTGGGGACGGTGGTGGGAATAGTGGGGACAGGTGGTGGTGGGGGCGGCGCTGGGGACAGCGGTGGGGGATGTGGTGCGGACGGTGGTGGGGGCCCGGGAGTCGTTAGCCGGCGGTGAATGGGCGGGGGGGGGCTCGAACCGGTAGTGACCCCAGTTGTTCTCTTGGAGGAGGGGGGGGGTTCGAACTGGCAGTGACCCCCGCCCCGGTTATCTGGAAGGGGGGGGGGTCGAACCGGCAGTGAGCCCCCCCCGTTTTCCAGAGAGGGGGGGTTGGGGGTGGCGCCCGGGGAAGGGCGGGGGGGGTCCAAAGGGGGGGGAGTGCAAGGGGGTGGGGGCCTCGGGCTCCGGAGGAAGAGGGGGGGAATTTTCCATAATAAAGCGGCGGTGGATCACGCGTTCTCTGATGCTAGGACGGCCCCGCATACTACCACGCCGCGGGATGGACAATCATGAAATTGTCCTCCGCTGGAGGTCTGATCGTCTTGCTCTAAAGAGAGGTCGGAACAGATTTTTTCCCAGCATCTCCAGCGGCCGAACACGTTGCAGCGCTACCACTCACGCTGACTCACCCAAGGTCCACAACTACTTTTTGTTTATGTTCTTCACTTTCCTGCAACGCCTTGGCCGCAGGCAACTGCTCGCCAGCACCTGTACGGGGGACTGCGCGCGTAGATGAGAAGACCCCCCAGGGGTCGGCCTGAAATGCGTTTTGGCGATTTCGTGGGCCGCTAATGTTTGAAGCCATTTTGCAGAAAACGCGGATTGACGACAAAACAAAGAAACACGAAAACAAAACGAAACGAAAAACACTGTTTAGGCCGGTCCATGGGACCCCCATTGTGGGCACACCAATCTAGTCCCATACCCTCCCGCAGATGCGACCAGAGGTGCTTCGAGCAGTAAGCGATGACCTTGCCGATCGATTCGCCGAGGAATATGGCGACCCCAATCCCTAGCTTTTTGCAGGGTTCTCGGGTGGACCAAAAAAATGAGGGCAAACTCGGAGAGACGCACGGGGGAGGGTCTGGGGGGCTGGGGAACGGAAAATATCGCCTGCCCACTGAGGCTAAAAACTCAAAAGAACGCCGGCGTCGAGAACGAACGACGCCGGAAGTCTGGGCCGGGGAAGTCCTGCGACCGCTCCCGTCAGCACGCGGCGGGGATGTCGGGGCTGCGCCCAAGCAGATCTCGACAGCCCTCGTCAACCGCCAGGCCAGAAGCGCTCGGGGCTGACCCACTCCTCCCAACTCCTTCACCCTCCTGCTCCTCGCCCTCCTCCCTTTCCACGGTTCACGTCGCTATGTGCGGCCTTCATCTCGATGCGGTGCTTCCGCGTTCCGAAGTGCATCCAGTTGGTGCCCTTCGGGTGCTGGCTCCTGCATGGTTTCCAACTCCTCCGTTCCCACTGATAAGCCGTAATCTAACAACACAAACTCTATGAGGCCACGCTCCCCCCACCCCACCCCCGCGCACCCTTCCCACCTCTAACACTTCCCCTCCTCCCCAACCTTCTCCTCCTCCTCCCCCTCCTCCCTTCTGCAACTCCTCCTCCTCCTCCTCCTCCTCCTCCTCATCATCATCATCATCATCATCATCATCATCATCATCATCATCAGCATCAGCATCATCATCATCATCATCATCATCATCATCATCATCATCATCATCATCATCATCCTCATCATCATCCTCATCATCATCATCCTCATCCTCACCCTCACCCTCACCCTCATTCTCATCCTTATCATCCTCATCCTCATCATCTTCATCATCATCATCTTCATCATCATCATCATCATCATCATCATCATCATCATCATCATCTTCATCATCATCATCATCATCATCATCATCATCATCATCATCATCATCATCATCATCATCATCATCATCATAATCGTCGTCATCAGCATCAGCATCAGCATCAGCATCGGCATCGGCATCAGCATCAACATCATCAGCAGCAGCATCATCATCATCCACTGCGTCTAGATCCCCCATGCCCTCGCCGTTCCTTTCTCCTTCTCATTTCACCTCCCCCTCACTCCTGTCATTCCCTTGACCCCTCCAGATCCGCCACCGCGCCGCTGGGCACGGAGTGGGCGTGTCCTCCGGTCCTAGCCAATCCTCTAAGCCTCAATCCTCATTCCTGAAGAGTCTTTAAATGCCTCTAAGCCTCAAGCCTCAAGCCTCATTCCTCAATCCTCTAAACCTCAATCCTCATTCCTTCAAGCCTGGGCCCCTCGCTCTCAAATCTCCCGAAGCTACCCGCGTGCCTCCTGGGTTCTGGGCAATGTATTCGCATGACTCTTCCAGGGCCAAGAAGGCGCCAAGCGGTTTCCAAGATGGCCCAAGAAAGCTCCGAGACGCTCAAACATCGGCCCAATACGCCCAAGATGGCCTCGCAGCAGCCCAAGAAGCCTGAAATCCGGCCCAAGAGAGCTCCACGAGGCCTCCCAAGAGAACCCTAAGAGGCCAAACTCGTCAATGATACCCAGGTGTTTGAAAGATGATGCCGTTCTCGCTTTGTCTGTTGCCAGACGCTTCAACGGCTCAAGGGGCTCTCAAACCCGTTCCAAGACGGCCCAGAAGGACTCCGAGAGGGCTCCAAGACGGCCCCAGAGGTCCCCAACACGGCCGAAGAGGCGCCAACGACGTCCCAAGTGGGTCCAAGATGAACCTGAGAGGGGCCCAGGAAGGAGACCACGAACCAAAAATTTGACGATTTGTGCCCCAAGAGGCTTCCAGGAGGGCCCCAGAGGCACCCAGGAGGACCAAAGAGGCTCCAAGAGGCGCACAAAGCGCACAAAAGGCCCCCAAGAGGCTCCCAAGAGGCTCCCAAGAGGCCCAAAAGAGAGCCCAAGAGGCCCCCAAACGGCCCCCCAAATGCTTCAAAACTGCTTCCAAGACGCCGCCGAGAAGCTTCCCACGCCACCCCATCAGACATGCCAGCGGCCTCCAATCCACACACCCCCCGCGTCCCCCCCACAATCCAAGTTTTCTTATCGTCCTCCTCATCGTTCTACTCCTGTGGCCCGTTTTCCTCCTCCGCCTACTCCTCTTGTTCCTCCCTCTCCCCCTTCGTTCGTTATCCATCAAGTGGTGCCGCGGGATACCACCTGAAGCCCATGGCTGTGGGCCCACAGCTTCCTCGCTACCTGTGGACATGCTTGAAGTTGTACTAGTTCGGTGACATTTCAGGCACGCATGCGACCTCAAGCGGCACATGCCTCAAGCAGTACTTGTGCCGCACCACGCGGGGCACACAGACGACATACCCCACGCGTTCGTGGTTGGTACAACTTGAAGCGTGCATACGACATGCCTCCAGTGGTACATGCCTCAGGTGGTACTCGTTGTTGATCGACTGAAGCATACATACGAGATGTATCAAAATATACTTGGACGGTACCAGGCGAAGCATTCCTATGTAATCTATCGCGCGGTATATTTATTCATCACGGGTACATGTACCGTACCATTTGAAGCATACAGACGGCATGCCTCAACCTGTACTTGGTCGGTACCACGTGGTGCGTACATGCGACGCGCCGCACGTGGAACAGGCCACAGTTGGTACTTGGTAAACCCGCCGATCCGGCGTGTGTGTTTCTGAGAGCGTGGGCTGAGCTCGCTCAACCTTCGCTCTGCCAGGGGGGGCGGGTGCTCAGCTCGGGGGCGAGGGGGCCCACAGGCCCCCCAAAAGCCCCCCGGAGGCCCCATGAGGCCCCCAAGAGGCCCGGAAGAAACCCCAAGAAACCCCCACACGACCCCCAAGAGGCTTCCACAGGCCCTTGTTCAATCCCCTGGGTCAAGCCTGAGGATTCTTGACGGGCTCGGACCCTAAGATCTCAAATCTGTTGAGGCTCCCCGCGCGCCCACTGGGGCCCTCAGAATGTTCCCGCATATCTTTTTCGAGCCCAAGAGAAGCCCAAGACGGGCCAACAGGGCCCCAAGGGACCCTCAGGAGGCCCAAGAAAGCCCCGATTCACCGAACGATCGGTCCAAGACGCCCAAGATGGCCCCATGGCCATTACCATGATAAGCATCATCGTTATCAGCATCGTCACCACCACCACCACCATCATCACCACCACCACCACCACAACCACACAACCACCACCACCACCATCACCACCACCACCACCACAGCCCACCACCACCACCACAGCCCACCACCACCACCACCACCACCACCACCACCTCAGAGCTTCAGAGAGGCCCCAAGAGACGCCCAAGAGGCGCCCAGGAGGCTGCACAAATGCCCTTCGCAGGCCCCCGGAGAGTCCTCCGACGAGACGAGACCCCAAGAGGCATCCAGTAGGACTCTGACCCAAAACCAAAGCACGGTGGCGGAGCGTCGTCGTCGTCGCCATCGTAGTCACCGTCGTCCTCGTCGACGTTCCCCGCCGCCGCCATCGCCCGCCGCCGCAGGCGCCGGCGCCGGCCCAGAAAGGGAAGTCATTGTCCCCGCCGCCGCCGCCACCCGCCGCCGACGCAGGCGCCGGCCCGAGGAGAGGGAGAGAGGAGAAGTAAGGGAGGAGGGGGAGGGGAGACGGGGGGGGTTCGAACCCGCCCCCCCCACCGTCACGGGAGGGGGGGAGGGGTTCGACCCCCCCCCCTCCATCCAAGGGGGGAAGGGGTCCAGTTCCCCCCCCCCTCCAAGCGACCACAGAAGGCATTCTTTCCTACCTTTCTGTCCCTCCATCAATCAATCAATCTATCTATCTGTCTGTCTGTCTGTCTGTCTGTCTATCTATCTATCTATCTATCTATCTACTATCTATCTATCTATGAGAGAACGCGCCCACAGGGCCCGAGCAAAGGGGAGGGGGGGCTAGGCTTAAGCTACCCCCCCCTCCCTTGAGCCGCCCTTGTTGGAAGCACCCCCCCCCCTCCCCCCTTTTTTTTGCAAGGGGGGGGGGGCTTACAGCTACCCCCCCCTCCCCCCTTGGGCCCTCCCCGGAAGCTACCCCCCCCCTCCCCCCCTTTCCAAAGGGGGGATGGTGCTTAAGCTACCCCCCCCCTCCCTTGGCGCTGCCCTGCTGGAAGCTACCCCCCCCCTCCCCCCCTTTCGTGCAAAGGGGGGGGGGTGCTTGGAAGCTACCCACCCCCCCCCCCCTTTGGCCGCCCCGGAAGCTACCCCCCCCCCCCCCTTCCCAAAGGGAGGGGGGTGCTTAAGCTACCCCCGCCCTCCCTTGGAGCCGCCCTGCTGGAAGCTCCCCCCCCCTCCCCCCCTTTGTGCCAAAGGGGGGGGGGCTTGGAAGCCCCCCCCCTTCCCTCCTTTGGCCGCCCAGCCCCCGGAGCCTCCACGATCCACGATCGAGGAACAATCCACGATCGAGGATGGACGATCGAGGATGGACGATCCAAAATGAACAATCCACGATCGAGGATGGACGATCGACGATCAACGATCGACGATCGAAAATCCCAATCGAATCGCTTGCAATCGATTGCACTCCATTCCACTGCAATCCCCCTCCCCACCTCCCTCCGCTCCCTCCCCTCCCTCCCCACCCTTCGTTCCATCTCCTCCCTCCCCTCCCTCTCCTCCCCTCCCTCCCTTCCGTCCTGTCCCTCCCCTGCAATCCAATCGATCGAATCGTTTGCAATTCAACCGATTGCAATCCAATCGATTGCAATCCAATGGATTGCAATCGAATCGTTTGAAATCCAATGGATTGCAATCGATTGCAACGCAAGTGTATCATTCAAGTCGTCCCGTGCCAACGCCCGGGAACTAAAAATTACCCTGGCGACGGACCCAACCCCTGCGCAAACGCGGGGCGCAAATAGTTTAGGACACTTTATAAAGGGGGCGATGACGGAGCGAGGGTTGCATATGTCTGCAGACGGAATTCGGGAGACTCGCAGGACACTGGCTTCAGGACAAGGACTAGATAAAGCTGATTAGTTGCAATCCCTGAGCAACCCTAGCCACTTCGAAAGCGGGGATCTCAGATCGCAGCCCCCCAGGGATGGCGAGGTCTAATTTGGGTCCGCCCGTGGCGTCACTGTGCTGGGCCCCCCAGCAGGCCTCGAAAGTGGCGACAGTTTCACAGATCGCAGCCCCCCAGGGATGGCGAGGTCTAATTTGGGTCCGCCCGTGGCGTCACTGTGCTGGGCCCCCCAGCAGGCCTCGAAAGTGGCGACAGTTTCACAGATCGCAGCCCCCCAGGGATGGCGAGGTCTAATTTGGGTCCGCCGTGGCGTCACTGTGCTGGGCCCCCCAGCAGGCCTCGAAAGTGGCGACAGTTTCACAGATCGCAGCCCCCCAGGGATGGCGAGGTCTAATTTGGGTCCGCCCGTGGCGTCACTGTGCTGGGCCCCCCAGCAGGCCTCGAAAGTGGCGACAGTTTCACAGATCGCAGCC